GGCCAGGTGGGTAGGACGTTCTACTCGCAATCTGCGGGTAGCGGGTTCGCATCCCCGTCCCACAAAACATGCTGCCCTTTCAGCCTGGGGGCGTTATAATGTGACGGTCAATCCCACTATTCGTTGGTAAAAGAGTAGCCCAAGAGTTGGCGGTGGGTGGTGATGACTAGCTGCCTTCCCTCTAGTCTTACACTGCTAAATTAGGGACGGCTAGCGCAGATAGCCCTCGTGTAGCTTTGCGCGAAATTAAAAAAAAAACAAATCCAATAATTTAATAAAAATTACTTTCGTTATATCCTTAATAACTTATGAAGTTTTGAAAATTTAACTACTCATTTGTCCCAAATGGCTAAAAAAACCACCAAAAAAGCTCCTAATTTAAGAGTAAAAGTACTTATATATGATACAATTGGTCATATAAGGCAATGTGTTATGTGTATTATATATAATCCACAGAATGTTCCTTAATGCGAACCAACTAGTCTAATTTAATTATCAATCGTTTAAGATATTATTCCTTCTTTCTGAATTCTTAAAATATGACTTGGTTGACGTCGTTCTTCCAAAGCTGAAGAACCGGACTTTAACTTCCTAAACTTAATACTATCATTTAGAATAGTTAAAGCATTTCCTGTTTACTTTTTCTCATTCAGAATTGTTACATCATCACCTTTATGCATACGAGCTTTCATTTCTCCAGTATCATCGTCAGGGGCAAAGAAAATTCCAATTATAAATTCAACAGAAAAGACGAAGCAGACTGATTAATAGTCTGTTCTGGAATTAACTTATGTATCCAATGGATTAATAGTCTGTTCTGAAAGTAACTTTTGTATCCAACTGATTAATAGTCTGTTCTGGAAGTAACTTTTGTATCCAACTGATTAATAGTCTGTTCTGGAAGTAACTTGTGTATCCAACTGATTAATAGTCTGTTCTGGAAGTAACTTGTGTATCCAACTGATTAATAGTCTGTTCTGGAATTAACTTATGTATCCAACGGATTAATAGTCTGTTCTGAAAGTAACTTATGTATCCAATGGATTAATAGTCTGTTCTGGAAGTAACTTGTGTATCCAACTGATTAATAGTCTGTTCTGGAAGTAACTTGTGTATCCAACTGATTAATAGTCTGTTCTGGAAGTAACTTGTGTATCCAACTGATTAATAGTCTGTTCTGGAAGTAACTTGTGTATCCAACTGATTAATAGTCTGTTCTGGAAGTAACTTGTGTATCCACAAAATGTTTTCAGTTCTTGACATTTTCTCAAGTTAAGCGCTTCACAGAATATTGAAATGTTGGACAATAAGAAAAAGGTCAGAGGTTTAAGGGTTATCAAGTTATCCAATGTACTAAGATGTTTTATAATCAAACTTTTGTCTCTCGCTGACTCAGCAGTAAGTCTGCAGGTTTACGACACAAAAAATTCGGGTTCTGATACCTGTGGTGGGCAGAGCACAGATAGTCAGTTTTGTAGGTTTGTGCTTAACAACAATTAAACCAAAAATCCTTTTTAGTTTAGTTTTATGCAACTTCTTCAGGTTAAACTAAAATTTGAGTAACTACACTATGAAAATTAACATTACTTTGACCCTCAATGGGTATGAGTTTTAATGCCTGTAATAACTGTTCAAAATTTACGAAATATTCAACGTAGTCTAAACGTTAAACGTCGTGATAGTACCTTTTTTTTAGCTTATGTGAACTGACCATCTGAAACATTGTAAATAACATTTGTAGGGTCTTCTAAAAAAGTAGGCACACTAAACATTTTACATTTTAACCTGTGAGCTTTTTAATTTGTTTTATCCTAATTCGATAAAAAGTTTATTCTTTCGAAATTCAATACAATGATGCAAGTCTATAAAATCCAATCGTGAGACAACTTCCTTCAGATTATCTAACACATTTCTCTTTTTTAAGCTTTTGCAATTTCAATTTATATTTTAATTCTCATCTTAGAAACTTGTTTTGTGAAAGCCTAAAATATTTATTTGAACTTCAATTAAAGCTAAATTAAATTTTAAACAGAATTAGGAAACAAATTATACTGTATACATTCATTTAAGACCAGCGGCCGCGAAAAAGTAGAATATTTTACTAAAAATTTGGCCGAAAGAAATTATGAAACATGTAATTGAAAAAGCGTATAAAGCGCAGCAGTAATTATTAGTAAACAGTTTAGCTACAATAGTTGAGCTGAGTTCAACACAATACAGTAATTATTAAT